TCCAATTCCATCCTTAAATTGACTAAAACACTAGTGGATCGATGAAGCATCTCAATAGATGTATTGATGAAACATCACAATAGATGGATATTATGTAATAGAACTGGAGGCAGTTTTCAAATGGGATATATAATTACACAAGGAAACTTCATCAACAGAACCGACATCTTTGATATATTTCACATTCTCACAAGTTATAAAGGATATTACATATATTTTGTTGCAACTTTTCATGAATCATAAACGGTATTATTCTGACTTAACAATACAGCACACTTTAAGATCGATAACACGCGGTTGTTACTTGGGGTACTTACACCGGTTTGCTGACTATAGACATTCTTTCTCTTAAAAGTAATATTGAACAATATTTACATTTGCCCCGCGCCGTCCCATTACAACAGTGTTAGAGGGCAAGTGTTATTATATAGGCTATAGTTACAACTGCTTGACTATAATTACAACTGCCTGTTTCAGGTGAAGGAATATGTAAACAAACAAAATGGCCGCCTGAAATGCATTTTGAGGCAGGGCAAATGGTTTTTGTAGGAAGATGTCTTAAAAAAGAAAAATATGTAAATATAAAAAATACCTGGTGTCTGGATGTAATTATTGTTGATATAATTACAAGTGGCCTCTGGCAAATCTACCATTATTGTTTAAATATTTACATTTGCTATGCCGCCATCCATTGCAATGTATTGAGAAGGCAACTATTGGTATGAGACTATAACAACGTTTGCTATTGTGACGTCATCAATCTCTATCATAATGTTAATATAAGTAATGAATATTTTAGCAGATACCGGGCTTTATTAAGTTTGTCATCAATAGCAATGTGTGTTATAGATAGGATCATAACAACATTTGCTAAAACATTCATTACTAAAATAATAAAGGTTATAAACCGCACTACTAAATTAAAGTTTCACATATTTTTCGGATTAATCCATTAAAATCAACTAATGAATATATTATCTATGTTTAATGTAAGTGTTGGGATTTATTTAAGTGTGGGGATTTGATAAAGGTTTCCCAATCAATATATGACAATTGGACCTAAACCAATGAAATTCGTTTATTATTGGCGGTAGTTGTTTTGCTCAGTACTCGTCACTGAGTATATCTGTGATATGGGGAAGAGAGCGACTATGCGAATGCGCTTAACTTGGTTATTTCCGTTAAAAGGTCAATTAAATGCATGAAAAGGGCAGGCTTTAATTTATGCGTATTGGAAACATACACCAGTGGTGTGCATTGATGTCTGCAGCACTATAGGTGTAGCTGATAAACATGGCTACATGTTTATTGTCATAGAGTATTTGAAAGCTCCAGATAAAGGATTGGCTAAATTTATAAGAAGTGTTTCGTATGGATGTTCCTTATAACGGTATAGACCTATGACCTTTGCTGACCCATGCATATATTGTCCTTTGTTATGAAAAGTACAAGTGAGTCTTGTTATGATGTGTGCATGTACATGTGTGCACATTGCCAACGTAGAAAAGACTGTTAATGTCATAACTCCCGTGTCAAGGGTCTCCAACACGGGGACCGGGTGTCTTTACAAGGGAGACAACTCGTGCTTACATATATAACAAGGTATCAAGTTACCATTGTCAATTACATTACCAATATATGACAATTACATTACAAGACTGGTATCATCCTACTTGATATTAACTATCAAATTAACCTTTAGCCATTCCGTCTTTGCGTTTTGCAGAGTTATCCTCTCTTGTGAGCAGGTATTGATTGTTACGTCATTTGTTTGTGAGAGTAACGTCATCAATTTTTGAGAAAACGACGTAATTTTCTCGCACAAACCAATGACGTAACAATCAATCCCTGCCCACAAGAGAAGATAACTCTGCAATACGCAAAGACGGAATATTCACAGTCCGCAGTAGAAAGTTTTGGTGTACACAAATAAGGCATTGAATGGAACAGCTCCCCAGTAATTATAGGAGCTTGTCACCTTGTATCAGCCGTCACGATCACTGCGGTCGAACACAGAATCATTGTTGTGTGTCCAAAAATATCGTACTTACTGTGGCCTATGGAAACCGGTGCTTTGAAAGGGCCACGTTGTGGAATCAAACACTCTTGCTAAATTCAAGAAGGATATATACGTCTACGTTTTAGACTATTTTGTGCAGACGTCATGCATATGGAGATACATGGCTTTTTATCTAATGTATAATGCTGATTTGTATGTTCTCGTCTATTATATTTAAAACTGTCTATGTAGGAATACTGTTATTCACGTAATTTTGCAAACCATATAGGGCGCTACATTACATATTATCTTATCATGATATATATTTGACATAATCATATTTTAGAATGTGTACGACAGCTGGCACGTAACTGCACTGTTTTTAACGTTGTCACTTTATGTCTGCACAAAGAACTCCGTTAAGCAGTTCGGTGTCAATGGTACAATGTACATTAAGCAATTTAACAAGTGGAGCGTGTTCTTGTCAATGGCTAATCCTGTTGATAACTAGAAGCGTTTCACATATTTGCTGACTTCGTAGATTTTGCAAAGTAGGTAACAACTAGCCCTTGATGAATTGTTCCATTTATACCAATATAACACAGTCGGATTTATATATATATTTGTAGTAATCGGTGTTTATCCTCACATACTTGATCCGGTAGTTAGTACTACCCATTTTGTGTGTACTTGCGTGTTACGTCACCACTACCGTTGTAGATGGAAATAAATCTGGCTAACATGAAATGTTGTTGTTGCGCTCAGTCTATTGGCGAAATATGGCCGAAGACACAACAATATTCACAAGCGTCAGTGGATTACACATTCTGATCCCAGACGCGTCGTCCACTGTATCAGGTTTTCTGTCTTTCCTTGTCAACGGAATATTTATTTAAGGATTAACCTTTTATTTTGTTTTGTTTATGAGATAATAAATCCAATGGAGTACGAGGTAAATTGCGCGTTTACGAACAATTTACCGATTGCTGCATTGAATTTCATAATCTAAACAAAATAAAAGGTTAATCCTTGTATTTACAATATTTTCTTTTAACAATAAAACCATTAAGAGAGGCGGATACAAACATTTAGCTAGTGTAACCTGCGTTCAAAATTAGTGTTAACCATGCGAAACAGCCATTCGCAAAAGCCGTTGACAGACAGCTAAAGCCCGCCCACTTTATCCATGACAACAAATGAAAAAAGTTCCTCCATTTCAATATTTTTATTCACATAAAATGTCCATATTTAACTTTATACAATATCTTCAAAATTGTATAAGTAGGTAATGGAATAAATATTTTTATATTTCTATGAAATTGAGGTACTAGGGCAAAATACTAATGACCGCGGACGTCCAGTTTTTAAAAGTGATGCGCCCAAAGGCGGGAAATAGAGAGTGCTACCATGACGTCGAGCGATAGTGACTAGCCTAGGTCTGGTGGAAGTTGAATGCGCAGTTATTGAAATTGCTGTTTGTAAGTAAACCAGAGGTTTATACAGATGACATGTACACTGTATGATGTGTATAAATCGTTTGTCGACCGAGTGACTGTTGATGTAACATTTGGGAGACGAGAAATTGACCTACATTTCTAGGAACGATAGCCATCGTTTCTGTGCCGTCACTCATAGATGAGAGACTAAAGAGAGTGAAGCTGGTGGAGCGTTTTTGTATCGACGAACAATCGCGACTGTAGCTTCTGACACTAGCTTCATTTTTGTGACCGGTCATGAACATGATCTGTCTTGTCTCGAACCCGACACCGTTTGGTGTCTCGAACGCACGGTGGTCTAAATTCTAGCGTTTGTTTGTAAACATTGACACAAGGTTTGCGGAAAGAAGTCTGCCCATATTTACATATATTCATACGCGGTGAGAACTTGAACACGCTCTACACTCAAGTTATTGAAAAATAAACAGACTTGCCTACACGTACGTTATTGATTCCGAAATCGGTTTGTAATAGATCATTGGAATATGAGTGTCGGAGTTTCTCAGACGTGTTTATGAAATCCATAACTCCCCCTTAATTATCAATTATTAAGTAACACGTCTGATAACAGTTTTACAGTGGTGTTTTAGTCGTGTATTTGTAGGGCATAGCTCACTCAGTAGGAGACTTAGCCATGATTCCCTGTCTATATAGTATACACAGCCACCACGGAGGCATAGCAAGTTTTGTGGTAGGATGCCAGGCTCGTGACCGAAGGGTTGCGTGTTCGAGTCGAGCACGGCACTGTACATGTGTTGTATCTTTGAGCAAGATACTTTACTCCGCTTGGTCCAGTCTACTCAGCTGTAAATGAGTACGTGGTTGGGCAGTGCTAGAATTGTAAAATGTTAGCTGTGAGCGCCGAAATGGCAGCACCGGCTGTATGCTCCCTATGGAGTTAAGAAATATATTGACTGGTTGCAAAGACCTTATAACCATGGATAATAGTTTGTTAACCGCTTTGAGACGACCTACGAACTAGGTTGTGATAAAGAGGTATATAAGACCCTCGAATTATTAATATACTTATTGTCATATCATCATTGCGAGACGATCGAAGGGAGGCAACTTGGTAATCGTCTGTAAATTGCGCGAATTACGTTGGTAGACAGACGATATCAACTGCAACTTCAACAGGATACTCTTAAACGTTCATTATACTGAACATTATATAGGTTCATATCACCTGGCGCGGTTTTAAAGCTTAGACAGATGATGTGATTTCATGCTCCTGCCTCTCAGTACATCAGATATATCTCATTTCCTTGTAGTTCTATTTGTTGGTGAAAAACTACAGCCAATTTTCATTTAAGAGAAGTACAGTTTTGTCAATTACTGCTTCCTGCTATTTAGACAGATGGACTAACTGACATGAACCGGTCATTCATTTTGGATTTAATGGAAAAGTGTCGTTTCCTTCCACTTGATGTATTTGTTAAATAATCTGAAAAAAAGAATTCAATTATCAGTTCATGATTGATCTTTTACACTTTTGTATTTTGAAGGTTAAACGACAAAGATAGAAAATGGTGCACACAGGGGAGACAACTCAGTCTGTAGTGGACACACTCTTCAATAGCAGTAGCTTTAGCAACACTAGTGTCCAGTGGCCGGAGGAAGAGGATGACCGATCAGTTCTAGCCGTGATGGGGATGCTGGCCTTCTTTAGTGTGATAGGAACAGCTGGAAATTCAATGGTGCTCTACGTGTATGTTCGAAAACGGCATAAGTTGGCTGCCACAGTTTTTATAATCTCCCTAGCTGCTACCGACTTCATGACTAGTCTGGTGATTGTGCCGTACACTATAGCAGTGGAATATCTTGACTATTACATACAATACGACTTCGCATGTAAATTGTATATGTTTTTCATCACTTCCAACGTTCCATTCGCGGCTTTCATCATGGTGGCGATAGCGTTTGACAGATACTTGTGTATTTGCCATCCATTTATGCACCTAATGAACGCTAAGCGTGCCAAGCTCACCCTTCTTGCTCTAGCGTTAATGTCGTTTACTCTCGGGATCATCACATCACTAAACTACGGTGTATACGACCTCGCCGAAGTAGATCCCTGTTCGAATCCATTATCAGACGATGGCAGGATAAACTCGTCAGTTTTTAAATTAACAACAGGAAATATTCACGGTATCGTATATAACACTTCATACAGCGCGGAATCTCCAGGGAGAGGAGTGCCAGTGAGGTTCGATAACAGGCATAGATCGTGTGTCATGTACAATATCACCTACACAGGACGCTGTGTCCCTAACGAAATTGTGTTTTCAAGGCACTTTATTACAAATTATCAGAAAGTGTACGCCACTTTCTTTTTATTAGCGTTACTGGCTGTAATAATATTATACGGTATGGTCTACCGGTCAGTGCTGGTCAGAAGGGCAAAGAGACGACGCCAGAGGAGGTCAACCCGAACGGTGTCATTGACCAAGGACTCCTGGTTCAGTGAATACCGTCAGTCCCAGGCAAACATTCCGAAACACACTACTGAAAATGGTGAGGAAAGACACCCGGATGTAGAGCTTGCACGACAATTAACGATTCGAGAGAGAGGCTTGGTTGCTAACATCCGGACAGCAGCCATGTTATTTGTTGTGACCGCTATGTTTATCATTGCCTTCCTGCCGGCCTGGCTGATGGCACATGATGTTATAGATTACAACATGATTGTGTTTTACATGTATTTTATATATAACGTGGCCAACCCTATCATTTACGCCTTCATGAACAAAGCCTTCAGACGTGATTTAAGAGATGTGTTTGACTGTAAAGCCATCCTCCGGGACTTTCGTTGATTAGTAGAATCTTCCCCTACCTTGAGGGTGTGACAGAGAAATCTCCTACCCGAGGGGTGGTGCTTTTTGGTTGTCTAACCCGAGGCTTTGCCGAGGGTAAGACAATCAAAATAATCACCCCGAGGGTTGGAGATTTCTCTGTTACACCCTCAAGGTAGGGGATGATTGTTTTTCTCCTATCCTATTATTTCAGTCACAGCTCCACCGACAGCAGTCTGCAATGTTTGTAAACAAAACACATGTGGTGTATGAATATCGTCATTCATTTTTGATGACGTCACAATTGAACACGTTCTAATCCACACGCGGCTATCTCCCCCTAAGGGGTGACAAGCTGATCTTTCCCGGCTAAAACGGGAGACTCACCTGTAAAGAGTAGGAGAAATTGTTATCACAGGGATATTGTGTTAAGAGCCGTCAATCAGTATCAGTCTAATCAAAATATGTATAGATGTAGATAAATTGGCACGTTTAACGTTTCTATGTGTTTAAAATTACTTTTAGGGGGTTGTTTGTGTTTCTCTTAACATGTATTTTTGTATCGCAATACACATGTATACCAGTTCAAAAACAAATGCTAACAAAAAGGAGTTCACATTACCGAGTATGGCATAAAAAAAATACAATAAAAATGTGTGGTAGTCTTTCTTCCGCTCAATTTTCAATTTAGAACTTTTGTGCTTTAATTCCAGCAAAATTAATCACAGTTCAATATTGATATATGAAAACGGTTCTCCATAGATTAGTTAAGATCAATGTATCACTCTGTAGACAATTGTAACTTTAAATATGTTCGTGTGAGATGATTCATATCTAGACGCGTACAGATTAGTCACGCGCAAAAATACTAATAATAATATTTTAATATACATGTACACCATTCTACAACAAATTCAAATAAAAATGTATCCCAACAGATTATTGGTAATTTGATAAACGAGGGTCATTTTATTTACACGAAACAATACATTGTAGTTTTTATGAACACAAAACGAAACCCTTCAAAAAGCAGTACTAACGAAACAGATAAATACGTATATCACCTGTTTATTATAGTACGTATTGTCGGTCGTCATGACTATGAGGGAACGTCCAATATGATTAAATTTCAATACATTTAGATGTATTTCTACAGGCAATATAGATACGTGTTTCTTGCCTATAATATATATCGTATAAATATTTGTTTTACTACGGAATTTTAAATACCGAAGTGGTAGATATATGAGGAAAATTTGATAGAAGGACTGCACCGAGGTAAAAACAAATCTAAACGAGGTCATGTGGTGATTCTATCATTGGCAACGTGTATAAGTTATATTCAATTTTTGATGTGTTGTTTTTATTGTGTTTGGTTCTGTTTGAATGAATCATTCATTAACACTTGGTATAACTGTCTGACATCACATAAGTGTATATATTTGATATTTACAATAAATATACAATAATTATATATTGTGTGTGGTCGTTATTCACTGTGTCGTTATTTTATTGTAATTCTAAGCGAAATCTTAGGCTAAATGATTTGTTTCATATCTGATATATTTATATTAGTCGTACCGATCCTTGTAATTAATCATGATCGTAAAGCTTAGAAGTTAAGACGTGCGTGACCATACAATTGTATAAGAAGCATGCAATATCGACACCTCCTGTTTGCAATACGACAGCATTGATTTTCATGTTGTGAAGTAGTCTCGTTCAACCAGACACTTGTATGATCACTTTGTGTTCGGCGTAGCTTGCAGAGACAACAAATACAAGAGTCTGGTTGAACGAGACTAGGGCCGTTTTCGTTTAAACGGTCAAACCAGTCGGACCACTGTTGTTCGTTTATTAAATAAGGTCGGACCTAGTAATCTGATACTGCTTTCAGGCGAGCCTTGACGAAGCCTTGCAAGGCCTGCATAAACATTTGCAGGTCCGTCAGGATTTATATCCGAAATTGTTACATATATAAACGGTCAAACCGGTTGTTCCGCATAAACGAACAGGTCCCTAGTTGAATGTCACCTCACGCGTCATCAACAAGAGTTACACATGACGGTCAACTTAGTTAGCCGACGGTCAGATCATCTTAGAAATTAAATGTATAATTATCTATTAGATTTTTTTTACTGTAGTTGGACAATTTGTTTGCGAAAGACGAATTGATGATAATTCCGTGAAGGACAAAGTTAATCAGGAAGGATTGACACTACTAAATAACTCTTTGTTAGAAAATATACTTCCTCTTTTCAATTTTGAATCCTATGAAGCACAGCCTCTGCAACATCTGGCCTAGTACGACGATCTACTACAAGGATGAACATTATAGCAGAATTATGTTGAAGGGACTACGTTTTCCAAAGTTAGTTGTATTCAGTGCTCACAACCATAAAAAATAAAGAGTCGTTTTTATTATTAATTGACCTCCTGCTACCACAGGGTCGCGTGTTCGAGACCTACGTGGGGCAGTCGCCAGGTACTGGTCGTAGGTCGGTAGTGAACTCCGGCTTTCCTCCACAACCAAAACCTGGCTCGTCCTTAAATGACCATTACTGTTAACAGGACGTAAGACACAAACAAACCAAAAATGGTTAGTAATTGATTGAGATCAATTAATAATCGATTAAATCCTATAAAACGATATCGTTTCCCTTCCTCCCTTTATCACATGCGATTTCTGAACGCGTTAAGCGTTATACCTTTGTGACGTAAAGTTCTTTTCAGTGTCGGAGAGAAAGCATCCAGCCAGCATCCGACTGTCTTTGTATATACTTATCCATTACATTGAGTTTACACCTAAAATGATTGAAATCGAATTCCTGTTTCTAACCATGACTGAAAGCACGGGGAGGTTAAGCTGATTGATATGGAATCAGCTGACTTCGGTTGTCCGGTAATTAAGCTCTGGACTCTCGCACCAAGTTCAATATTATTTTAATCACCTAAAAAGAGCTTCGAAATGTTTAGTTTAGTTACGTGGTTATCATAACTCTTTGACGGACCACCAACCAAACTGCAAACCACTTTGACGTCATCCCGTGCCACGTCAGAGCATTTACCAAATCTGTTATAAAAAATATACAAGAGATGACAGTTTAATAAAATATACACGCGATGACAGTTAAATAAAACATACACGAGATGACAGTTTAATAAAACATACACGAGATGACAGACACGATATGACAGTTTAATAAAATATTCACGAGATGACAGTTTAATAAAACATACGCGAGATGAAAGTTTAATAAACATACAAGAGATGACAGTTTAATAAAATATACACGAGATGACAGTTGAATAAAATATACACGAGATGAAAGTTTAACAAAATATACACGAGATGAAAGTTTAACAAAATATACACGAGATGAAAGTTTAACAAAATATACACGAGATGAAAGTTTAACAAAATATACACGAGATGAAAGTTTAATAAAATATACACGAGATGAAAGTTTAATAAAATAAACACGAGATGACAGTTTAATAAAATATACACGAGATGACAGTTTAATAAAATATACACGAGATGAAAGTTTAATAAAATATACACGAGATGAAAGTTAAATAAAATAAACACGAGATGACAGACACGATATGACAGTTTAATAAAATATTCACGAGTTGACGGTTTAATAAAACCTACACGAGATGACGGTTTATAAAACCTACACGAGATGACAGTTAAATAAAAGATATACGAGATAAAAGTTTAATAAAAAGATGCAGGATATGACATTTTAATAAAATATACACGAGATGACAGTTTAAAAAAAATACACGAGATAACAGTTCAAATAAAACATACACGCGATGACAGTTTAATAAAACATACACGAGATGAAAGTTTAATAAACATACACGAGATGACAGTTTAAAAAAAATCCACGAGATAACAGTTCAAATAAAACATACACGCGATGACAGATTAATAAAACATACACGAGATGCCAGTTTAATAAAATATACACGCGATGACAGTTAAATAAAACATACACGATATGACAGTTTAATAAAACATACACGAGATGACAGTTTAATAAAACATACACGAGATGAAAGTTTAATAAACATACACGAGATGAAAGTTTAATAAAATAAACACGAGATGACAGTTTAATAAAACATACACGAGATGACAGACACGATATGACAGTTTAATAAAATATTCACGAGTTGACGGTTTAATAAAACCTACACGAGATGAAGGTTTATAAAACCTACACGAGATGACAGTTAAATAAAAGATATACGAGATAAAAGTTTAATAAAAAGATGCAGGATATGACATTTTAATAAGATATACACGAGATGACAGTTTAAAAAAATACACGAGATAACAGTTTAAATAAAACATACACGCGATGACAGTTTAATAAAACATACACGAGATGACAGCTTAATAAAACATACACGAGATGGCAGTTTAATTAAACATACACGAGATGACAGTTTAATAAAACATACACGAGATGACAGTTTAATAAGAAAAAAATCCACGAGATGACAATTTAATAAAAGATACACGCGATGACAGTTTAATAAGAAAAAAAATCCACGAGATGACAGTTTAATAAAACATGCACGAGATGACAGTTTGATAAACTATACACGAGATGACAATTTAATAAAATATGCACGAGATGACAGTTTAATACAATGGTAGAATGTTGTTTATATTAGTATTTCTCGACAATATGTTTGTCGATGATTCTTATCATTGTATTTGGCGTTTATTTGTTAAAAAACAATAACCAGTGAAATAGAAAATGAATATCAAGACAGATTTAACAAACAAACGGACACACGGCGTAACGGTGTGTGAGGGTAAGTCTCGGTAATGGTTTTCACAATAGATATAGACGTCTACATCAAAGTAACATACAATATATAACGAATCAGTTTACATACCAAACCGTATGAGGGAGAGGGTAAATGTCATTCTTTTTTTTCAATATTCTGAAGTAAATCGACGCCAAGGACACGTGATTCAGCTAAGGGATACATTCCAGACTGTTGAGACGCTCACATAAGGTTTATTGTTATTTCACCAGTGGTCGTAAATAAAAAATATTGTCTATAGTGCGGGCTATATCGCTGTAGCAGGCGCAGCAGATATCGACGAGAAACGTAAACAATTTCTGCTAATTACTTATGGAGGGTACCAGAGGGGAGACAGCGTGATAACTAAATGTGAAA